TATATATATATATATATATATATATATATTGTGTTTTTTTCATCACTGTTTCATATATCAAGGATCGTCAGTCATGACTTCATGAATAAAACAGATGGGGATTTATGCCCATCCCTATTGACCCATGATTCTTACAAGTGTGGTCTTTCTGCTTTTTGAAACGGGCAGTTGCAGACACCCATTGCACTGTTTCCTGTGTGTTGTTTCTTCGGGCTCCATTTCCCAGTTGTTTGAGAGGTGGACCATGGAGACTGTACTAAATAAAAGTTCATAGCTCATATGTATCCATTCATGAGAAGAGGGCTATCATCATTATACTTATTGATTATGCAATAACATAATATTCTGGATCTAAAGATGGACTGCACTTGACATACTCAATAGTATCCCAAGGTGCTTCCCCTGGATGTTTTTTGCTTGGGTGGACCGCACTTAACCTAATCCTATTTATCCAAGGCATTTCCCATTGGGTTTTGTCTGGGTAGACTGCACTTGTTGATCTTTGTATCTTATGCAAGGCACTTCCACTGGATGTTTTCTGCCCAAATGGACTGCACTTGGCATAATCTGACGTATTCAAAGGTGCTTCCCCTGGATGTTTTTGGCCATATTATTATACATCTAAGACACTTCCCATGGATGTTTTTGCCTGGGCAGACTGAACTTGTTGATTTTACAAACTTATGCAAGGTGCTTCTACTAGATGTTTTTGCTTGAATAGACCCCACTTGACAATGTATCACAAGTCACATCCCTTGGATGCTTTTGCCCAGGCAGACTGTACTTGACCTATTCATTTACAATCTAAGGTCCTTTAGCCCTAGCCTTGTATACTTGTATCACATTATCAGGCACCTTACTATGACTTAACTATTACTGTGTCCCATGCTAATACTTGCTACATATGTGGACGAATTATGCACTATCTGTTGAAAATAGACTGATTATGAATTATCTGACAATTTTTCATCAAATTATTTATTCAAGGCACTTCCCATGGATGTTTTTTTGACAAGGAGGATCACTCTTGTTGCTCATAATATCCTATACAAGGCATTTCCACTGGATGTTTTGCCGGGTTGGACAGCAGTTGATTTGCTCTGGTGTGCCCAGAGACTCTACCCTTGGCACATATTTATTTGGGCCTGTAGTTGATTACACACTAGTCTTTCCATTTTTGTCCTTGCTGTGCTGTTTCACATCATTGTTATATAGCACTTCTCCACAGAACATTGCTGTGAATGTCCTTCTTGAGGCTATGGTGCCTGCCCATTACATTCCACCCTATATGTATTACTGTGTTTGTTACTGGGCAAAGAGCATACCTGTTCCAGAAGTAGTGCTATACCCCACAGGTGTGCCTGCCTTCTTTTCTTATTATGATACACCTGTTCTTTCAAAGAAGTTGCTCTCCACTTGATTGAATACTATCATGTTTTCACCAGCCCATCCACCTTTGCAGTGTGGGATTCTAGCTTTGGGTGAGTGGCAGTAGTGCTGTTTCGGAAGTAAACATTTCCTTACACTGAAAATGTATTTCCGATGGGTACTTACCTCTACTCATCCACTTCCCACCCTTCTTTTCCACTGATAAGCTGGTGTTTCTAGTTTGTACATGCCAATTTTTGAAGTTGAGGATCGTGCTAGAATAGTAGAGGGAGCTAGCTGTACTAGTATAGATGGTGCAGTATGATTGGTGGAGAATTGTCACATGATCAGCACGTGTTCTGAAATGTTGCAAAAATGAAGGAATGTAAATGACCAGTGCACTGTTAGTGAACATTTTTTAGCGGTGTTTAGAGGGCAAACCAGGATCGAGATAGCTTTGTGTGAGTAGAGGTAAATACCTATTGGAAAACATTTTGTGTGTAAGAAAATGTTAAGTTTTGTTTTAATGATCTTGAAGTACCATTTTGAATCTTTTACAATTAATACAAATTCTATTAACCTTTTTATGTGTGTTTTTATTGTCATTTTTGTGTTTCTAGAAGCTGAAAGATTTTGCCTGATATGCGTGGAGCAAAACTGATTACTTTTTTTTTGTAGAGGCTATAATTGGTATTTGTGGAATACGACTTCTTACAGAAGTTGCAACTTATTGTTTACTTGAACCTAATCATTATTATTTGAATGAGTTATAAGAAGTAGAACAGGAGTCTGTTCCTGGTATGATGTTCTTTTTGTTCCTCTGCATGAGTCATCCTAATAACTTATAAATTGTTTAACAGATAATAAGCCTAAGATCAAGCCAGTTCCAAGTCCCACATTGTCCAGTAGTGCTCGGTTTTCTCCTTCTACTCACTGCCCATCATCTTTTAGCCTTGATGTGGTAACTTTACAGCAAGAAGTGGACAACTTGAAGAAAGAGATGAATTTGCTAAAAAACACAAGTGTCAACAAGGGAGATTATAATGAACTTCAGAAACAAGTAAGAACAACCATAGTATTCTTTCTTAGATGAGAATAAATACTTTGTGGTAATAAAAGTACTTAAATAACAAAACAAAATTTCAGAAATAGTTAGGATGTAAACTGGTAATGAATTAAATTTTCCATTTTAGTTTTTCTTGTTACATGGCATGTCAAACTCTTGTGTGGCAAGTCAGTAAGTGGCTACTTGACAAAGAGCTAACTAACAAGTTTGTATTTACCAAGTGACAGTATCGCTGCACATATTCAAAACAATAGTGGTACTGGAGACTTAAAAACTAGCCTTAACTGTGATGCTTGCCTGTCTTTATCAAAAAATTGCAGGTAAATTATATTATAAAATGGTTTTATTGCATTTCTATTATAATGATTGTTTTTTGGGTTTAGACATATTATATTACATCATTGAGCTGAAGAACTTAAATAATGGAGTTACGTACTGTGTTAAGGAAAGAAGATATTGTTAGGTAATTGGGTTGTGTAAGTCGTCATGTAAAGTAGTTAGTGTTAAGTAATGGTGATTACTGTGCCATATAAACAAATTAAGACTAAGTAATGGAATTACATAACATATCAGGTAATGAAACTAACATTATATTGCCAGGTTAAACAGCTTGAGGATTCGGTAGAGATGCAGAGAAAGCACTACGGTAAGCTTGTTGTGGACCTCATGAAAGAGGTTGATGAGGAGAAGAAACTTCGTATGGTACTTCAGGTAGAGCTTGACAGAATAAAGAAATTAACATCTACAGTTTGAAAACTAGACAAGACTGAATAGAATGTGGCTTAATTGTATCATTTCAGGAAGCAAAGTTGCCTTATCCAAACCATCCATGGTGATGGGAGATTATTTTTCATTTGGTCTGCAAGTCATGATAGTCTGAGATGTTCCAAGAAATCAGACTGGTGTATTGATTATTTTGTGGTGGGATAAAAACTGGACAAGTTACAGAAGAATATATGGCAATCATTGAAGTATATTTATTTTTCTTAGCTTTGGAAAGAATTTCAAGTTTTTAAAGTGCTAATTGGGTTGAATGAGGTAACACAGAAGTTATATAAGTGGATGTAAGTACAATCTAGCTAATTAGTAGTCATTTTCCTGTTGAAACTGAAGCTGTTGCTGCATTTTCAACATTTTTTCTGTGTTGCATGCTATGTATGAAATAAGGTTGGCTTAGCTCGCCTGAAGCAATCAACAATTTTATCCATATGATATGATCATATAAGCATGTAATTTGTGAAGATAATATCCTACTATCATTTTATTAAGTTATATTTTCATATTCTCTATATGCTAAAAGTTTCTGTTGTAGACTCACTTTAGATTTTGAAACACAGAGTACTGGGAACAAATGGAAAATATATTATTGAAAGAAAAAAGTTGAACACACTAATGTGAAATTATTAAATGATGACCCTTCACTGGACAGAAATATTGAAAAGTTGTGTGACATTATTATGTAAGAAAGTATTTCATATAGTAAAATTAGCTTGTATCTATAGAGCTTCATCCAGGTAACACTGTAACTCTGTTATAGAGCTTCATCCAGGTAACATTGTAACTCTGTTATAGAGCTTCATCCAAGTAACATTGTAACTCTGATATAGAGCTTCATCCAGGTAACATTGTAACTCTGATATAGAGCTTCATCCAGGTAACACTGTAACTCTGATATAGAGCTTCATCCAAGTAACATTGTAACTCTGTTATAGAGCTTCATCCAGGTAACACTGTAACTCTGTTATAGAGCTTCATCCAGGTAACATTGTAACTCTGATATAGAGCTTCATCCAGGTAACATTGTAACTCTGTTATAGAGCTTCATCCAGGTAACATTGTAACTCTGTTATAGAGCTTCATCCAGGTAACATTGTAACTCTGATATAGAGCTTCATCAAGGTAACATTGTAACTCTGATATAGAGCTTCATCAAGGTAACATTGCAACTCTAAGTCTCCAACAGAAAACATTTCCAGCAGTAAATCCTCACCAAAAACTTAACTTTTAATAAACATTTATTAAGGTGATATTTATAAGCTTGTGATATTCATGTTTTAAAAACAGCCGTATTCAAATACAAATAAAGATATAAATAGAGAAATTTTAAAAGTAGCTGTTATCAAACATAAACAGAGAAATTTCAGAGGTAGTTGTTATCAAACATAAACAGAGATATAAGTAGAGAAATTTAACAAGTAGCTGTTGTCGAAGATAGGTAAAAGTATATGAAGAGAAGTTTTAAAAACAGCTGTTATCAAAATTAAATAAAGGTACAAGTAGAGAAGCTTTAAAAGCAGATGTTATTAAAGGTATAAATAAATAAGTTTTTCAGACACATTTTATCAAAGATAAATAGTGGTAAAGTAGAGAAGTCATAAAAGCAGCTGTTATCAAAGATACATGAATGTATTTAAAACATCTCCAAGGAGACTAAAATATCCACTACTTCTTGATTATAAATACATAGTTTTGTACCACTTTGTACTTTAAACATATTATTGATTACTGAGTACTTTCTCTGCATTAATGTTTTAGTATACAAAAGCTTTATCTAATTTACAATTTCTTGATGATATGGAATGGTGTACTTCTAGCAGCAATATAGTAGAATATATTTTAGAATTATGAAAGGTGGTTAGTGGCTTTACATTAAGGGCTAAGTATCTTATGTATAATGCTGCTGTCGCTGTTAATGTAACTTATGTACAAAGCTACTTTATTTTTGATAACAGTGAGTCATAAGTAAGTGTTCTTACTGCAATCCAGGATCGATGGTCAGGCTGTAGCAATTTATAAAAGTTTACTTCCTGTAGAATTTTACTGAAATAATACCTTATTCATGGAAACTGTGCACAAGATACACAGTATTACATACGTTGAATATGACCTGTATTGTGAAAAAGTTTTGTATCCTTTACGATTTACCAATGCTAGAAAAGAAGACAAGATATTACCCAGATGGATAAGTAGGTTCATCCTTGGTCCATATACACTGAATCTCTTGATGATTTTGATGTGATTAGACTCAACTAGATATACGCCAGTGCTGACTTAGAGGTTGTTAATGTTAAGTTTCATATTTTTACCGATTTTATGGTAATCTTTGTTGTGAGATACCAGAGGTATTATAGTCTGGACCAATAGTACCTTTTGCATCCTTGTGTTACCATTTTGCTAGACCTTACCTTTATCTACAGTTTTAACAGAATTTGAAAAGAACAACAAAAAGTCAGATATCTTTTTTCCATTACTGTAAAAAACATATAGCTGATTTTTTTGTTATTTAACAAAGACCTTATGGGAAATGGGAAAACATTGAACATTTTGATAAGAGTTTCTCTGGGGGGAGATATTTAGGATATATTTTTGGAAAGATTTGCTATGAAAAAATGCTAACTACAAGCACCACTTAAAACACTAGAGCCATTATTGTTGCATTGAAACCTAGGGGACTTTTCAAGGTAAATTAATTCCTTTCATCCTGGAGTCCATATTGGCAAGTTTATGAGTGTTTGTATTTCCTTTACACATGCTGTGAAGTAGTCGTATTTGAAATTCAGAATGACCTTAGATTTCAATTTGGTAATTGTAATTTGAAGTAATCACATTATATGATGACTAACTTTCACTGCCAATGATGGTCATGCATATTTTTGATTTTTTATAGTTCATCAAGAAGCTTTAGTAGTATGACTGCCAGTAAATATCATGTTCAGTGTAATTATCTAGCACATATTAGTTCAGTAGTAGTTTATGTTCAATAACTACAGTCTTGTATGAAGATAATCCTCTTTAAATTAACATAATAGGGGCTTCTGATCTGTTTTTATTAATAAATGTTAGATTTTTCAGATATGAGTATGAATTTGAATTAAACAATGGTGAGAAAAGATGGCATATTAAACAAGTTTTTAATCTGTCATCTACGACTTGTATTCATTAAGCTAAGTGAGAGTAAAGGCTATAATAATAAACTTTTTAAATATATTATTCCCAGAACGTTTATTGACAGCTTGTGATCTTTAAGTAAAAACTAAATATATTTAATTGTTTTTGTGAGTTCCCATAGTGGATGGAAAATAAATACATCTAATACTAGAAATAAAGCTGAAAGCAACAATTAACAATTCTACAAATTTGGCTGATGTTTTATAATAAGACATAGACTCCATGAACACACACACATACACATTGACAAGTTAGTTGTTATTGTGCTATATTCTGTAAAACATTTAAATTTTTCTAATGGTCTCCTAGCTTGGAGACAATATTAGTATTTTTGAAAAATATAAACAGGTATAAGTAGCTGAACTAGCATGTTTTTTCTTTACTTCAATTGAAATGAATATTTTGTTATTATACCTTGTTTCATGTCTTTATATTTTATATACAGATTAGCTGGTATCATTCCACTGTATGTGTTACATTGTTGATATTTTTATCAGTGAATAATCAATTAACTTTTTCTTAGTGGTTTACAAAAGGTATCTTGAGAAAGCCAAATATGTATCAAGAAAATATAATATTCATGATATAATCAGCATAAAAATGTTAGAATGGTCTTTCAGTTTGACCCCTTGTGGACCAGTGATGTAGTTTTTAAATAAATCTCTACAGATACAACTGATAGTGAAAAGACTAGTTTTGTTTTACAATGGTATTTTAATATTGAACCATTATTTGATAATCTGTTGTATTATATCTCCTTTAGTAAATTCAAATACATGAGATCTCCTTATAGTTTGTAAAGTGAAATGAAATATGTTACAGATTCATGTAGTTTCTATAACAAACTGAATATGTTAGAGCTCCACATAGCTCCTACAGCAAACCAATATATCTTACAGCTCCATATAGCTCTTACAGCAAACTAAAGTATCCTACAGCTACGTAGCTCCTACAGCAAACCAAAGTATCCTACAGCTACGTAGCTCCTACAGCAAACCAAAGTATCTTACAGCTCCATATAGCTCTTACAGCAAACTTAAGTATCTTACAGCTCCATGTAGCTCCTACAGCAAACTAAAGTATCTTACAGCTCCATATGGCTCCTACAGCAAACTAAAGTATCTCTCAGTTCCACATACCTTCTACAGCAAACTAAAATGTCTTACAGCTCCATATAGCTCCTACAGCAAACTAAAATATCTTACAACTCCATGTTGCTCATACCGCAAACTAAATTATCTTACAGCTTCATATAGCTCCTACAGCAAACTAAAGTATCTTACAGCTCCATATAGCTCCTACAGCAAATTAAAGTATCTCACAGTTCCACATATCTTCTGCAGCAAACTAAAATGTCTTACAGTTCCATGTAGCTCCTACAGCAAACTGAAGTATCTCGCAGCTCTGCATAGCTCCAACTGCAAACTAAAATATCTTAGAGTTCCATGTTACTCCTATAGCAAACTAGATTATCTTGTAGCTTCACATAGCTCCTACAGCAAACTAAAGTATCTTACAGCTCCATTTAGCTCCTACAGCAAACTAAAGTATCTTACAGCTCCATTTAGCTCCTACAGCAAACTAAAGTATCTTACAGCTCCATTTAGCTCCTTCAGCAAACTTAAGTGTCTTACAGCTCCATGTAGCTCCTACAGCAAACTGAAGTATCTCACAGCTCTACATAGCTCATACAGCAAACTAAAATTGTCTCATAGCTCCATGTAGCTTCTACAGCAAACTGAAGTATCTCACAGCTTTGCATAGCTCCAACTGCAAACTAAAATATCTTACAGTTCCATGTTACTCCTACAGCAAACTACATTATCTTGCAGCTTCACATAGCTCCTACAGCAAACTAAAGTATCTTACAGCTCCATTTAGTTCCTTCAGCAAACTAAAGTATTTTACAGCTTCATGTAGCTCCTACGGCAAACTGAAGTATCTCACAGCTCTACATAGCTCCTACAGCAAACTGAAGTATCTCACACTTTTATGTAGGTTCTACAGCAAACTAAAGTATCTCACAGCTCTGCATAGCTCCTACTTCAAACTAAATATCTTACAGCTCCATGTTCCCCCTAGAGCAAACTAAAATATTTTGCAGCTCCTATAATAAACTGAAGTATCTTACAGCTCCATATAGCTCCTACAGCAAACTGAAGTATCTTACAGCTCCATGTAGCTCCTACAGCAAACTAAAGTATCTCAAATCCATGTTGCTTCCACAGCAAACAAAAGTATCTTGGGTAGGTGAGGGGGGGGGGGTTCAGTTCATTAATGTGATTGTTCTTCTTAATATAATGTGCAGATGTCTTTAATAAGTTAATTCAGTATTATATCTATAAGATACAGGCAGTGCTTCGATTCAGTGAAATAACTGTGACCAATTTGATTAAAAATAACATTTTCAGAAATAATGGATAGCTGATCTCAATGATGTGATTTTGTAATACAGTATTCTCCATCATATGGTACATTGTCATTGTTCTCATGCACAAGCACTTTTCAAATCTCGTATAGTTCATGTCCTGCATTGAAGGTTTTTGGTTTTATGGTCATTTTTTTTTCCAGACTTACTGTTCTGATTTCATAAGTGAGATTAACTCAGTAACAAAGATCAGACTGTGTGATATGTCTTCTGTGGGAGAATTGTCTGTTATTAAAATATTTGTCATTTTCTGTAACTTCACAGTGCTTCTTGTCAGAATCAATTTGAGAGACTTTGTTATTTTTCTTATGTATTAAACATGTTTACTCTTTCATGATGTTCTTTCTGGAATTTTGGAGAACTGAGAACTGCTTTATTTCACCTTCATGGAAAGAACATGAATTGACAGTGAGTTTGACAGTAAGAAAAAAAGTGGTCAAAAGTTTTTGATTTCACATACTAACTTGGAATTTAAATTTATTTAAAACTAAAAAAATATATTAATTCTTTCTATATTATCCTTAAAAGATGCTTCATTATTTTTATGATAGACTTTTATAAAAAAGAAGTCTAACATGCCTTTTAACTGGAACTTATTAGTTAACTAATTTTTTTTTGTCCAGTATAACAAATTTGTGGAAAGGTGTTATTAGAAGTAACAGATTTAAAATATTTGTTGGCAAGTTAAGAATTTTGAGCCTATATGGGTAAGAGAAGTAAGAATTTATTAATACCAATTTTTTCAACATAAACTGTTTTGCAAATGAAGAAGATCCTTTTTTCTTTTAATTGACATATAAAGCATATCTCTACTGTTCTTCTTACACCTAAATCATTTTCTGTAGAATTGATATCTTGTTTTATTATGTTCTTTGCATTCTGTCGTATTTCAAGTAATTATTTGTATAATAGAATACCAACATTATCTTGCTCTTCATAATTAAAGTAAAATTAGATTTAGAGATATATGTATATATATATATATATATATATATTGTCATTTTCCAATTTTTCTAGAATATTCATTCCATTCTCATGATCAGATATAATTCTATATAAGTGTGTGGAAGAAGATTAAAGGCAGATGACTGATTTTTATAGAATAGGGACAAGTGTTATTAACTTTGTTGCGTTTAAGTAATACAAGAAGTGATTTTGTAATGCAGTTTGATCTTTCAAGCTGAAATTCTCCAAAGGAATGACTCCTAAATGAAATGTATTTTATTTTTTTCCAGGCATTAGCTGGGTTTATGTGCCATTCCAATTTAGAAGCTATTTTATTTGCACACAGTATTAAAGGTATAGCAAGCACTAGTTATATTTGGAAATATAAAGAAGTATTTATAGATGGATTGGTTATTGATGTGGTAGGAAAAACAAAATCATTTTTGAAATAACCTGTTCATTCATACATCTGTTTGTTATAAACCCTTAAGTATCAGACATTTACATCATTTGTGATGCTGGTACACATCTTCCCGTAGTAAACATTTCAGGTATCATTCCTGTAAAAGTATTCAGTTTTATTAACCAGTCAGATATGTTTTGTACAATATTCAAGTTTGAAATTACTGGTACCATAATTATAACATAATCACAGGGTTCATTAACTTCAACCCTGTTAATTACAATAACTTGTTTTGTTGTTTCAGGTGAAATATTATGAATCTTAATGCCCAGTTTGAAAGTATAATTTTGTGATATGAGTTCAAATAAAGATATCTATTATAAGCACGTTTTTGGTCTGTTGTTTCTGTTAATATGTTACTTCATATTCATAGAAAAATTTAATTTTGAATTAGAACTTTTTTTGGGGTTTTATGAAGGCTTAAGATGGATTCAGGAGTTTAGAAGTAAATGTAAATATCTTCATTTTTATTTTTTACAGAACTGGAATGGTTAATGCATGGATTGTTTTCCTTGCACATTGTTTCACTGTAACAACATTTTCCAAAAGGATGTTGTTCATTAGATGTAAACCAGAGCCTAATTAGAAATGGTAGCACCATATTAACTATTTTAAACAGGTTTTTTCTGAACATTTGTTTTGGAATCTAGAAATTCCAACATCAGTGGTTTGTAACATAAACATTGAGCACTTATGATGGAACTTATAGATTCAAAAATATTTTAGTAATGTGAGAATACAGTATTGTGTGTAGCAGTTAGTGAAAACCACAGTAAATGGAACAAACCATTAGAATTCTTGATATTGGATAAATTAGTTTCAAAACATTCATGTGTTCTTTTCAGCAAGTATTTATCATTCACTGTGCAGTTACATAAGTTTAAGAGTGTGATCACTTATTTTGTGCACGTTTTTCTGCATACTCGCTGACAGTTGGGATAGCCATGATTTTCTCCATGTGAGCCTTCAGCAGAGGGTGGTTATCAAGTAGTGCTGGCATACGATGAGAGATGGCGTGGAAGGTAATAGCTATTCCAAAGTCGCAGTATGTTACCTGCAAGAAAAAAGAAAATTTCAGAATGTAAAAATTTTGAACTTAGATTGTACACAGATACTTATATACTGAGAAATTTGAGTTTCAGTTTTAAAAAGAAGAGAGTGTAATAGAAATGATCAAATCTAATTGGCTTACTAAGGATATAGAGGAGAAAGTGGGGATAATACTGTAAGTTCAAGAGGTTTAAATTAACAGATGGGAAAATTTACAGAATTATAGGAAAGTTAGAGATCCAGTTAAAAAAAAATCAGGAAATTAAAAAGGACTTGTGAGAAAAAGACTGACTTGTATCAATTGATAAGTTTGAAAAATAGTTGGCAAGTAACATTAAATTATAGTAAGTACAACATGGTACATTTTAGGTTATTATAATTTGGATCACTCTGTAGCATAACTGAAAAAAAAAAAGTATACACTAGATAAGTCAGTCAAGTTATCAGCACAGTGTTCTGTTGCTAGTAGTAAGCTTATAGAATTTTAGTGTTTACTTAATGGACATATTGATTAAAAGTTGAATGAGGTAATTATCTCTGTACAAATCATTAGTTTGCTCTCATTTAGTATACTGACTTACTGGAAAGGGTTCAGAGGAGGGTTACTATAATCATACCAGGGATGGAAGAGTTATCTTCTATGGATAGTTTAAGATATTTTCTCTTGAGGAAAGAGGGGTAAGAGGTGACTTTATCGAAGTTGATAGTACTATTTGTGAAATCAATAAGATAAAGGCCTCCAACTTCTTTGTGCTAATTCTGAAGATATTGGGGATGAGACCACACAAGTTTAAGGTTTGGATAAGATAGACTAAGCTTCAGTGTAGACAGTTTTACTTCTTTTAACAATAATCTGCTTATAGAATAAGTTGACATCAGCAACAGTGAAGGCCAACATGATACGATGGTTTACTGTTTATAAATAGGGTGTGATAGTAGACCCTTGCCAACGCCCTAAAAAACAGATTCATGTTTAAGTACTTACAGTAGAGTTGTGGCAATATGACATCAACCATTGTCGTGGTTAATAGCCTGTGTGACCTAAGTCTAATCATTATTTTTTTTAATTATTTTTATTTTAAATTAGAAACTAATTCCTGAGTTTGGCTTCTAATTTTCTACTGTCTTCAGGTACATCCTGAGAAGGACTATTTCTTTGGTGGCAATGGCCATAATATTAATCTGGGACTCATTTATAGAGAGGTTGGTATGCTATCCTCTCTTCTGCAGTTTTCTTTGTTAGGTCTTTAGTAAACTAATTGATTTGTATGTTTTCAAGAGGGGTATCCAGGTTTTTATGATTTCTGTGTTAGGTTGGCTGAACATGTTATTAGGTAGGTGAATGTAGTAGGCTTCATTCAACTTTTTTTCTCATGTGTGATTTATATCTCATTATTTTAGTATTATTCCAACTTATTGTATGTTCTTCTTTGGCATGATAGGTATTGCAAAGTCTGAATATCTTTAATTCTAACTTTTGTTGATCTTTAAATTTCTCTTGCTTATTCTTTCTGTTTATTTTGTTTATCAAGTTTTTTTTATAAACATTGTAAAAAAAGCTGTGGTGATGTATTTTTCTTCCTTCTCAGCATCTTCAGTATTACAGATCATGTCCATTCTTGAAACTAGGTAGTCTGTGATGCCCATCCTTACAATATGGGGGCAGTTTGATTTATAATCCTGAAAATGCCAAAAAGATAGAAGAAAACATCACTACAAACCTCATCAACAATGGATATCCAGAAGATGTGATAAAGAAGAAAAGAAAGAAGATAAGCACTAAGAATAAGTAAGAAGAAAATTACATGCGCTTAATCATATTTCCCTGAAAACGTACAGTAGACATGAAAACAGCATAAAGTCAAAATAGTATTTCGAAGCCACAACACAGTAAGATTGTGGTTAACACATACAAATCAATTTAAAGAGCAAAGACACTGAGTATTCATTGCAAATGTGAACTCCAATACATTGGAAAAATAAAAACACCAAGGAAAATTAGAATTCAGGAGCATAACAAACACACAAAGCTGCAATACCAATAGCCCATCATGTCAAAGAAAAATGTGGCAATTATGGAACAATACTTTCTTGGTAGGCAGATGGCCAACTAGTGCTATGATCTCCACTATATTATATAAATTAAAGTTATGTAACTATGGAGGCACCTTGTAATTGCCATTTCTCTCTCTCTGGAACACAATTTTTTAATATTTTGAAATACCAAATGGGGGCAAACGATATTTTGGCTTCCGTAGAATTATTGGAGGGACCAAGCTTTCTTGTCTACTGCCCTCTTCCTACTCCACTGAAAATAATAGGTACCACTCATGAGAAAAAGAGAGATAAAAGAAGTTTCTACATCCACTTTATCAAAAATACATACAGCCAACCTTGCATTAGAAGTCAACAAAACCTTATTATCCCCATTCAAATAAGTTAGTCTATTAAAATCCAAATGTAACAGATTCCAGGCGAGTAAATAGCATACCAGTCATCAACCTTTCTATTAAGAAGATACAGATTATAATATCGGCCTACCACCAAAACGCAGGATAAAACTAGTTATATTGTTTTCTTTTTTTTTAATTTGTAACAAATTTCAAATTATACTTAAGTGATCGTATAGGCTGCTAACCAGGACGACGATATCAGTCTATGAATACCGATACATCACCCACCTGATCACCGACAAATACACCGTTTGCTTCATTCTTCTTGAGGAGTTTTTCAAAATGGTCCAAGTAAGGAGGGATGTCTTCCTCTAATAGTTTCTTCCAAATCACAATCTAGAAAAAATCGAAGATATAAATAAAGTAATTTACATCTTCGCTGAATTTAATAGTTCATAGAATATTTTCATTTTAGAATTTTCGCACAAAGATACACAAGAGTTATTTGTGCATAAAAGTCTTTAATTTTGAACTGACAAAATGGAGGGAGGGCAGCTAGCCATTAGTATCCACCTCCATCTCTTTGTTAATCTAGTGGTGAGATTTGAACATACTCCTATAAAAACACCTACAGCTCCAAGTGAGTTCTAATGAGTATCGGGAGAATTTAACCCCTGGCTTCAGCACAAAGGATGGAACGCCGTCCACCTCATAAGCTATCATAACAAAACAGTGCATTTGACAACTAACAACACAGAATATGCTCCAAATAATACTAACTCTCACCAGATATGATATATATTTTAAATTGTTAGTTTATTTTATTGTACTTTCTTTGTGTGATATATTTTTTGCTTATTCCTTGTTAAGCGCAAAGCTACAAAATGGGCTATTTGTGTATGCCCACCACGAATGCCAAAACCCGATCTTTAGCGCGGTAAGTCCTTAAAACTGCCGCTTAACTAGCGGGGTCGCGTGGTTTAAAGAATATTAAAATACCGAGCTATGTAATGTCTGACTTGGATACAAATTAAACTAACTATTGGAATATATATATATATAATTTTTTAAATTATAATAAATAATTAAAAACGACGTTTTATATTTACACAATAAAAACTTTGTTGAAGCCGTACGGCTTCCGCTTTAAAATATCGCTCTACACGTTCATGTTTCGAAGTGATCTACGTCATCCTCAGGAGTAACTTACAATAAGGTAATGCGACAAGGGAGAAAGTAAAATTGTTTGTTTGTTTGTTTGCCTGTTTGTTTTGAATTTCGCGCAAAGCTACACGAGGGCTATCTGTGCTAGCCGTCCCTAATTTAGCAGTGTAAGACTAGAGGAAAGGCAGCT